AAAGATTTCCTGATATCTTATAATAAACAATTAAGTATTGCGTGTTAAAGGCTGTATAATTGTATAATTATATTAAAGATTTAAATTTAAAAATAAAAAAATAAAGATGTAAAAAAAAAATTAAAAATATAAATATGTATTTATGGATAATTCAAAAAAAAGAATATAAAAAATAATAGACATAAATTAATAAAATATATATATATATATATATTATATATATAATATAAGCAATTTTTTTTAATATTAACATTAAACAATTTTATTTCTTATTCTAATTTATATTATATAAAAATAAATTTAAATTTATAATTTTTATATAAGTATTATCTTTAACTTTAATAACTTTTTATTTTTTACAAATTGATTTCGCGATAATTATTTTTTTAAACATAATTTATTTAACTTTTATTATTGAATATAAATACTTTATTACTATTTATATAAATTTTACTTTATATTTTATTATTGAATAATTTTTTTAATTATCAATTTTTTAAATAAATTTATTACTTTACATTTTTTATCTTAAAATTTTTTATTTTTAAAATTTTTTTATTTAACATATATTTATAATTAATTATTCCATAAATAATTTTATAAATGTCCTAATTCCTGTTATATTTTATTCGTTTTATAATTTTTTTTTTATTCTTTATATACATTAACATAATTTAATTATTATATATTTTTTAGAAATATTATTTTCTTTTTATTTTTAATAAAATTAATAATATAGAAATAATATTTTATATTTGTTACTTTCTTGCAAATAATTTTTATCTTATTTTTGTAATAAAATTCTTTTGACATATAATTAGGCTTATTTTAAAAAATAAAAAGCTTTTTTTTATTATTAAATTAAATACTTTATTTCAAATTTTATTTTATTTTGAACTAACTATTTAATATTTTTATATCTAATAAGATTAAAATTTAAAGAAAATTCATATATTTAAAAAAAACTAATAGATATTTTTTTATTTTATTATTAATTTTTTATAAAAAAAGATTAATAATATATTTATTTATATTTTAAATTTATTAATTTTTAAGTTATTTAATATAAATTTGTTATTATTTATATTTTTTGTTAATCTTGTATTGATATTGTATACATATATATACTATATTTTTTCTATATATTTTATTATGATATTTAATTTATGTTTATTTATTTTATAATACTTATTTTAATTAAATTTTTTGCATATTTAAATTTTATATATGTATTTTTTTATTTATATTTAACATTTAATAATTAACAAGTATTTTTTTTGTAAAATCTTTTAAGTATTTTATTAGCAATATTGGTTTTTTATATTGTATTTTTATAGCATTAATATTTTTTTCAAATTAATTTTATTATTATGTAACTATTTCCATTTTATTTTATTACTATAAAGCAATTTTAATAATTTTCTTTAGATAATTTTTTAAGTATAAATTTATTAAAATATCTATTAATAAAAAATTATATTTTTTTACTTATTAATTATCTGAATTAATCTGGTTAATTTCCTTAATTTGCATTCTTTTAATATTAATCTTTAAAATCTATTAAATGATCATAATTAATAATAATTTAATTATGAAAATAATGAAATTAAATTTATATGTATTAATTTTTTTTTATATTTTTGAAATAATGAAATAATATTTAATTAAAATTTTAAATAAATATTTAATATTTTAATTTTAAAAATTAAAAACATTATTAAATTCATAAAAATATAACAATTTTTTTTTTTTATTGAAATAAATAAAAAAGATATTATATTTAATATTGAAAAATAAAATTAAATTTTTTATTAAAAAAAAATAATTAAAATGTGTATATAAAAAATATTGTAATTTTAAAAAATATAAAAAATTATAATTATTTATAAAAACAATCTTATATATTTATATAATATACACTTATTTATATTTTTTTTACTTAATTAAACTTATTGAAAATATTAAAATAAACTAGGATTGTAATTATTTAATATTTATCATATAAATATAGAAATATTAAAAAAAAATGAATATAAAATATATATACAATAAAAATAAAAAAAGATATAAAATATTCAATAAATATTTTAATTATAAATAATATAAAATAAAAAATAAAAAATAATATAAATAATAAATTTAATATATATATATATATATTTATTTTTT